TACCTGGCCTGTCTGTATATTTTTAACTATATATCATCTAATCTATCTCTAATGGAACACTTATTCTGTATGTCTGTGGCTTCCAACAGTTTACAGTATTTAACTATTTAAAAGTGATTTCCTAAAGCTCATTCATACCAATAAGATTTATGAATAAGCTATTTCAAAAGCTACATTTACTCCTTGTATATCTATTTCCTCATATATTTGCAACTAAATAGTTCTATTTTATGTTTAACCACTTTCTAAATAAATATAGGTCATCAGGATAGAGAAAGGCCTTAGAAAATCAGATGAGAAAAACAAAGAAAACATGATTATTATGTTGTTTTTCTATTGGCAAAATGAAATGAAATCATGAGTACATTAGTTTATGTATACCCTAATCTTGAACATAATCTGAATAAAGCAATTATTCTCAATTTTGGAGTTTTTTGTTTTTTTTTTTTTTTACTAAATTCACCAAATCATGGATTAAATTTCATTTCACATTCTGAACACTCTAATACTTACTTCGATGTTACAAATGCAGCTATTTTTTTCCCATTTGGTATTAAGCTATTTAAAAACATTTTTAATGCCAATTTACATTTATAATATTATAAAAGATAAAATAGTTTCTTATCCATTAGCTCTCTGTTCTTTGTTCCTTGAAAAAATACAAAATTAAGAATATGTTTTCTCATATTCTTCATGTGAACATAATTTATCAGGCCTCTTCTGAAGCAAGAGTTAATACCAAACACAGTTTGCAAATTCAAGTTCCTAATTAGGTCCCATGAGCACATTAAATTTTTCCTTCGCTTTTCCACTATTTGAATCTTTTATTTCTTTCTTTTCTAATTGAATTGGCTAACACATTAAGAACTACATTAAATAAGAAATTAGAGAGTATCTTTATCTTGTTCCTGACATTAATGGAAATGCTCCAAAGTGTTTCACTAACAAGCCAGCTACTGTACTAACTTGGTTTGAGACCATTATATAAATCATGTCAAGAAAGGCTTAATCTCTTCCTAATAGATCAGAAATTGATGTGAAATTTTACCAAAAGTATCTATTGAGATTATCATATAATTTTTCTTTTAATAGTGAAAACTTTTAACACACTTCTTAATGTTGAACCATCCTTGAGTTGCTGGAACAAATCTTACTTAGTGGGGTCATAAAATTATTTAAGTATACTGATGAATACTATTTAATAATATTCCTTTAAAATTTTTACATTAATATTTATAAACACAATTGACTTACAGATTTTTTATACTATTTTTTAAG